CTAAATTGTCCATTTTCTTGTGTCCTGGTGTGGCTACAATAATAAGAGTGTGTGAATATTAATTAATCTACTGTTCTCGCTCTCTTGGTTTAAGTGGGTGGAGAGTTTAGCTTGTGAAGAAATTACTGTGGCCTCTTGTTGGGTTTGGTTTTTCTCCTGTGGCATGAGTCAGGAATATTCTTTTTATGAAATCCTTTAATTTGACTAAAATAGACTGTGAGTGATTCCCAAATTCCACTGAAGCAGTGGTTGTGTGGGCTCAGCCAAGTCTTGTGCTTGCTCAGGGCTTCCATTGCTCTCCACATTCTCCTCATGCACGTTCACACTGTATTCATGCATGTGTTTCCTTGAATTTTTGCATAAATATTTAACAGCATACTAATTACTCATACAGCTTCAAGGAAGATTTCTCTCTAAATGTTAAATAGGTCTCTTGTCTACAAGACTGTGCCTGTGATGCAAAGAGAACTGGAATTTGCAGCCTAGCTTTTTTGTACCCAAACCTGCACAGTGCCAACAGCCACCGTTTCATGTTGCAGAAGTGTGCATCTCTTTGTAGAACTTAGGTATTTAGCAAAAAGAATAGTGAAGCTGAAACTGTGTGGGATACATTTAATTATGGTGGACTGACTAGTAATTGTTTCTGGAGTACCACAGATGGAAACCTCTAATGCACTTCAAAGCTGGCTCATTTTAACTTAATTCAGTACAAGAACAGAACAATTTGTCTTTCAGTTGTGAATTTACTTATCTCTGCTAGTGTTACGTGGGCAGATCCAAGAAGTTATCCAGGTGCTAATTGAAACAGCTGCAATGCTGTTCACAAAAAAATTCTAATTGGAACCCTGCATTGACCTAAAATCAGATCATGCTGTCACAGAGGTTCTCACAGAACAGTGGAGGTGGGAAGACACCTCTGAGATCATCCAGTCAAACTGTTCTGCTGAAAGCAGGGTCACCTTGAGCTGGTTGCCCAGGACCACATCCAGTCACATTTTGAGTGTCTCTGGGGCTGGAAACCCCTAAAACTCTTTGGACAGCATTTGATAACTCTCAGAGTGAAGATGGTTTTTCTTACGTTTAAATGGAATTTCATGTGTTTCATTTTGTGCCCATTGCCTCCCATCCTTTGGTGACCTCTGAAAGGAGCCCGTTTCCAACCTTCTTTGCACTTTCTCTTGAGGTGTAGATAAGATCCCCGCTGAAGCCTCTCTTCTCCAGGCTGAACCAACATACCTTTCTGACCTGGCTTGTACGTGAGGTGCTCCATTCCCTTAGTCTTTGTGGCCTGTTGTTGGACTCTCCAGTTCATCCATGTCTGTCCCATCCTGGGGAGCCCTGAACTGAACCCAAGCATTCCTCATGTGCCTCTCCAGTGCTCCATTCCTCATGTGCCTCTCCAGTGCTGACTAGAGTGGGAGAATCACCTCCCTCTGCCTGCTGCTGATGCTCTTCCCAGCACAGCCCAGAAGTCTGCTGGCCTTCCCTGCTGGAAGGGTGATTTTCTGGCTCATGCTCAACTCAGCGTCCTCCAGGACCCCCAAATCCTTTTTGAAAATCCCAAATTTTCTGCCACAGTGCTTTCCAGTTTTTTGGCTGCCAGCATGTTTGGGGGCACAGGGATGTTGCTTTCCAGGGAAGGGCCCTGCATTTCTTTTTGAACATCAAGAGTAAGCTTGAAGATGAATTAATAATGGTAAACAATTATGTTGCTGATTACAGTGCAATTCTCTCACTGATCAGGGAAAAGAGATTATTGGATACTTCTTACCCAAAATACCTGTATAAAATTCCATGCTTTCTCAGAGTGTGTAAATGGGTTATATATAAATATTTTCATGGAAGATATGATGTTGGAAAGAATTTAAACTGTTTGGGTTATGTAGTCCCCCTGAGCAGTGCATTAGGAGTTATTCTATTATTGCACTAATTGACTGCAAAACCACTGCTCAACACCAAGTGATTAAGTCTATCAAGATCTTTTGTCTCTGTTTAGATATCTGGCTGTTTCAAGTACTTTGCATTACTCTACCGACCAGCATCCTTTAATTATTTTATGAAATTAGGCTTCTGCTAGAATGGAAGCTTCTGAGCTGATTATAAAACTGATGCCTTAGAATAAATGTACAGTACAGCTTTTTTCTTCCTCCAGGAAATTTTAAATTAGAAATCCCTAAGCATTCTCTGTTGCAATTAAGTTCTATCCAGCTGTCGCTGATACCTCCTAGTAACCAGTTAGCTGTTTTTTATCTGTGTTACTGAAATTGGAATATTGTGGTCATTTAAGAGCTGATCCTGAGCAGTGGAGCAAAAGTTGATTTCTTTTGATTTGTCTGGACTTTTTAAAGCTTAGTGGCACTTTGCTGTAGAAATTCAAAAGGCTTTGTTGTTTTCAAAGGAGAGCAGAGTATAATACCACTTATCAGTGCTGCAGGCACTGGGGCTGAGGCTTGCTCAGCACACTCTGGGAGAGCACCTCAGCTGCAAATTAGAGAGAATACCTTGGGATCAAATGTTTGTGCCTGCTCTTCCCTTAGCTCTCTCTGTGCCAGCTTTTAGGATTTTACATTTCAGTTGATACCCTTAACCTGCATCTTGTAGTTGAATTATAATTAGGATACAAGAAGTAAATGTTGATGCTTTGGTCATTAAATAACTTGAGATCCAACTAGAATGCTAGAGTCAAAGTGATTTTATTTCATGTGTGTGTTCTTATTGCATATTTTGACACTGGTTTGCTTCTGTTTATCTGCTAATCCAAATGAAAATTATTTTCCTGGCTTAGAACATTTTAGCAATCCTACTCTAAAGCAGCTGATTTTTAAGTTAGTCAAAATACAGGCTGAAGCTAGAAAGCATTGAAGGCAGAATGCTAAAGTTTAGGCAATTTCATTAAAAAAATAGAAAAAAGGTCTTGGCATTTTTAGTGTTTTTCAACAAATGATTTATTCTTTGCTGATCTAAGTATGATGTGAAAAAAGTTTCATTTCAGACATATACACAACACTGAATTTTCCCAGCTTTAGCAAGCCTGTGTACTATATCTGAAATCTTCTAGAAAAGAGTTTGTATATGCAATAGACATGGAAGCAATTGGAGTCACCAGTTTCTAAAAGAAACAAAACCAAAACAAAATCACAAAAAAAAAAAAACCAAACCAAACAAACAAACAAAAAAAACCACCAAAAAAACCCACCATTATGGGGTTTTTTTCCCTGTCTTATATTGAGAATAAAGAGCATTAGAAAGGGAGAATGACTATCTTGCACAGAAATGTTTACACATGCTAACTGAGTTATCAAGTTGTTTGTTTGTGTTCTGTTGGCTTTAGGTGACCCAGTTAATACAGAGTTATCCGTAGGGGTGGGAGGAGATGCTTGCTACAGAGGGAGGCCTGTGACTAAATCAGGAAAGCTTAAGCTTGATTAAATAACCCATTGCTGCTCTCCTTTTCCATCACTTTCCAGCTCCTCCAATGAACCACTGTCACAGTTCTAGGTCAATGAGACTCTATGAGCTCCACAGTCTGGGCATATGGACAGCCCCACAGGCTGTCTCTTCCTCTCCCTGCCTCCTCACAGTTTCTTCCTATTAATGGCTTTTTTTAAATACATTTGTTTTACAAAGAATTGCTTTATTAAAGCATTGTCTGACACTGGGGATACATTGTGGAAATGACAATTTATAACAATTTGTAGTATGCCATAAATCAGGTAATCCTATGGGAGGAGCAGCTGGCGAGGTTTGGGGTGGAAGGTGGCTGCTGAGAAAGCCGGGGCAAAATCCTTCTGGAAGTGGGGGACAGCAAGCTCAGAGTTCAGCTGGGAGCTGGGTGCCTGCTGGATTAGGGCTCTCTCCCGAGTGTCTCAGGCTTCAGAGCACCGCAGCATTTGGTGGTGGAGGATGGCATGGAACCCATCAGCACTTTTGGGCAACCATGTTTTGCTCTTTGTAGGAAACAGTGATGAACACAGGTGCTGCCAAGCAGGACCTCTGATTCACATGCCTGCTTAATAAATCAAGTCAAATAGGCTGGAGAGAGGCTGGGTTTCTGTTTTCTCTTCTTAACCAAACCAGTTTCTGTATCAGACATCTGTCCAGTAAATCTCAAATGTATTCCTTGTTGGAGGGAATAAGGAAAAGGCCGAATCTGTGCTTGTGGGAGCTGAGGCAGGGGGAGAGCCATGAGCCAGGCATTCGTGCATGGGCTGAGTGACTGTATCGAACAGCCAGCAGCAAGAAATAAAAGATGGAGAGACACAGCAAGGTGTGAGGAGCTGGCAGGGAGGTTCTTGTGAAGGCTCTGCAAACACTTTCACACAACTCTTGCTCTGCTTGGGCATTTATGTGCCAAGTCATTGTGGAAGCATTTATCTGTATGCACTCATTACTTGCCATTTTTGCTGGTGAAGATGTTGCTCCATGTTCTGGCAGATTCGCAGCTCAAGTAATTAAATAGGAAAACCTAAGGAGATCAAAACATATCTTCTGGTCACTGTGGCAAACTGTGAGTTCACCAATGGGTTTAATTCTGCTCTGAGTTTCAATGCCCTTGTCTCAGGGATGGATTACATTTGAAAATGAAAAAAGCACAGAGGTAGTTTAGCTGAGTTTATTTCAGCTCTGTTTTTCTCCAGGGGAATTGAGGATAGCTATGTATGTTAAGTAATGAGCTGGGGGAACACTCTCTGAATGGCATATTTTTTCTAAGCTGAAAGCTGCTCAGATCTAAGGGAACTTTTTATTCCTGGTTTGACATTGTTTGTTTTGGTTTTAGAGTTACCTCACTCTCAGTAGCAAACTCAGATTGGTAGGAAATGTGTTTTTTTCTTTCCCAAGGCATAACAGCAGTGGAATTTCCCCTACTGTCACCTTGAAGTAAAAGAGAGGATGGATGGCTTTAAAATCAATATTTGTGTTTCAGTACTAGATTAATAGGAATGCATTTATTAACAGAGATCAATCTTGTTTATTATTTACTTATTTATTGTGTTTTTCAGGTGCTGCTAAATCCAGTCCAGCTTCTAAACCAGGATCAACACCTTCTCGCCCATCTTCAGCAAAAAAAGCTGCACCAGGCAGCTCGGCATCCAAATCAGATAAAGATTTGGAAACTCAAGTCATACAGCTCAGTGAACAGGTAAATTTGCTTTAGGCACAAAAGTAGATGCATTCATTGTCGCAGGCAGGCATGAAATCTAATATTGTCTTCTGATGAATGATGCTCTCCAGAATTATGAAGGGACAGAAGTGGAATTAGTTCAGCTGGGAAGAAAAAAAAAAAAAAGAAAAAAAAAGAGATTTATTGTGAAAAATAATGTCTGGCGGACATGATTGATTTTTGTATTTTAAAATTATTATCTTAGGAGTCACAGGTAAGTCTTGCTGAAGCATGATAATGTTATTAGATGTTGAAATACATCTTTTATTTCACCTGGTTAGGAAAAATCTGAATAGTGTCTTTGCTCTTGTGTATTACTGGTTTGAAATAAATAATTTAATATGCCTGTGGAGAAAACAAGTCTATTTGTCATACCAAGGTTTCAAGAGATTTGCAGTTAAAGTGAGACAAGAACATTGTGCTCTGCTTTCTGGAAGGAAGGTGTTAAAGAAGCTAACACACCATTTTCATTTAAAAATCTGATCTACCTTTCTGAGAATACTTAGTTATATTATAAATAATGTTCTGCAATATAATTTAAAAGGTTCAGAATTTCTGTAATGTTAGGAATGTAAGGGCTTCGTTTTTGTTTATGCTCTGGAGCTTTACATCATTCTCTCATTTCTGAAGTGCAAGAATGTCTGCACTGGACAAGAATAAATACCTGCATCTGGCTTAAGGCTGTGCTGTCAGAATGGTGTAAATGCCACCACTATATATGAGGCCTGATCCCTGTTATTTGTCCTTGGTGAGGGAAAATAGAAAGGAAAAAACTCATATTTTATAATTCCTGGCAGCTGCATTCAGGAAGTAGTCATTATTCTGGATCAAGTATAATTTTCCACAGTTAATTTCAGTTTCAGACTTTCATTGACCTCAACAGCAAAGATTTCAGCTTGCTGGGGCACCATTTTCAAGTTTTTGATGAGTTGTACATTGAAAGGTAGTGGATGGATAGCCACATCCCAGACATGGCATTCTGCAGATTAAAGGTATCATTCTGAGCAGCAGAGAGCACAACTGGGTCCACCAGCTTTCCAAATGGGCTCTAGATTGCTTTTGTAATAAAAAACTTTTTAAATGTTGCACAAGGAATGAATGTATATGTTTTTCATGGAATCATTTTTTTTTAATCAATGTCGAGCGGAGTTCAAACGTCACCTTAATGCAACTGAAACTGTGACATTTGTACTCAGAAGTCATAATGTGTTTGCTTCAGGAGGAAGAGTTGGTTGGCATCTGAGCAATATAAAAATATTTGATCTTTACTGAAATAGACAGTCACTATCACATCCACTGCTAACATATTCCTAGCACGTTCCATGTGTGAAAACCTTAAGCTTTATATACAAATAACCCTGAAGGAAAATGGATGATTTCCCCCATCACCAAAGAGAAGAAGAAGAAATTTTGAGGTTTTGAAAAACTGATTCTTTAATAGCTAGTTTTTAAGAGACATCATCTAACTAGAATGGTCTGGAAGGCTTTTTTTCTTAATGCTGACAGCATTTGGTATCTCATTTCCCACTAATGGATACTTGTAAACCATGGCCATATTACATGAGCCAAAAAAGCTATGCTGCAAGCAGCTCTGAGCCAGGTTTTCCTGACCCCCAGTGTGAGCATGCTGCAAGAGCCAAATTGCCTGTTTTTTACTACTCTGCAGTAGTTGTGGAGATGAGGGCAGCAGCCACCGTTTACCGTGTTTCTGTGTTGATTATAAGTAAAGTGATGAATTGTGTCTTGAATATCTGGGTCCTATGTGGCTCTAATAGTTTTTTCATCCTTTTCATGGCTTGCAGCTGAGGGAGATGGAAACATCTGACCTTCCATGCAATTTGTAGCAGAAAAGTTTAATTAGTGGGGATGTCTCTACACTGTGTTTTACCATAGTGTAGCTTAATGAGCTATTTGCAGTAATTGTAAGCCGTCCCTAATATTTGCCAGTTAATGGCTCCCTACAATTTTAAAGATTCTCTTAAAATCATCTTCAAACTGTGCCAGTAAGTTAAACTCCAACATTAAATTCCAAGGAGTGTCACTCTGCAGTGGCACTCGATTACCCATAGCATTAAAATAACAAAGTGGTCCCTGTTGTGTCTTTGGTCAGTGCCAACTAACTCTCTCTCTCGAAGAGTGTCTGGGTGCAGCTGAGGTGACAGCAGAAACCAGGGGTTATTGCATACAGAGAAGGGACTTTTACATATGGAGAATGGTCCCAGGAACTATTAGATGTGTGCTGGTATACATGTAGGTTCTGAAAACAGCATCACTGTGGCTTTTTGGCTGCAGTTGGGTCTAATCTGCAGCCTGCCTCAGCAGCCCTGTGAGTATTCCTGCTACCAGTAAGTGCCATCAGAGAAAAGACCAGTCAGTAAGAAGTGCTGCCTTTGCACCCATTAACTGGGTTGCAGAGGGATACTTGCAGTCCAGAAATAGAGCGTGGGAGTTGATGTGAGGTGTTCCTCAAGTGTCAGCCATTTGGCATCCTCATGGAAGGAAAAAGTAGGATGCAGATGTACAAAGTATCTGAAGCAATATGGATTCACACGGCACAGACAGGTAGTTGGAACTGAAGGAAAGCATATCTGGTTTGGTTATAACAAAGTTTACTCTATACAGTAATTAATTAACTCCATGCATATGTACATAAGTGATTTTGTTTCTTTAAACAGCTTGAATGTGAGAGGATGAAAACAGGAGAATGTCTTCATAGTAAATAGGTCAGAAGGGGAGATAGTCTCAGCTATTAGCTGCCAGTTTTTCAGCTGAAGTTCATTGTTTTCCCAAGCTCTAGCAAGCACAGAGCAAGAGATCTGGAAACAGTTACATTTTTACTCTGGCTGGATTCAGGCATTGCTCTCAAGCAATATGATGTGGCCGTTCCAGAAGGCACATCCTGAGTACGAGGTCTTCATCTACAGACCAGAATATTGTAAACTCTTTATTTTGCTCTTCCTACTTTTGTAAAAAAATAGCTAATTTTAAGGTGACTGGTCATTATATCCATAATGGATTCAAACTGTCAAGGGGAGACTTGAGTGTCACACTCAGGCAACTAGTCAGAAATGAATTAGTGCATAAATGAGATGCCCTGAGATCCTGCACTGGTAACAGGTCAGTTCTGCTGCTTGACGCCTTTGAGAGAGCAATCAAAGGTCAGAAAAAGTCATCCCTAGCTCAGCAGTCATGGAAAAACAAACTGAAAGGATTTAGTAGGCTATCAAAGCATTGTTTGAACTCTGCTGGTATTTTTACTAGTGAAGGAAATAAATTGACTTGCAATAGAACTGGCAGCACAGAAGTTTCTATTAAATCGTATCAGTTCACTGAAATGTAGTCTGATATGATTTAATTTATTTAGCATGTTTTATTTAGAAAATCATTTGTGTAATTGCAGCCTTTAAAATGCAAATGCTAATTTGGCTGTAATTGGATGTGATTTGGGTCAGTGTATTTACCGTAGACAGCTTTATCTGTGATTATTTCTGTTGGTTTTTATGCTGCTGTCCTCTGAATTTCCAAGCCACTTTGATGTTATCCTGATTGTGTATACCCCATTAGACAGAAGTTTATATGTTATGCTCCCACAAAGCTGTTCTTTTTAAAATATATATGTATAAAAATACATTGCAACATCTGTCATGATTTATACAAAGCCTAATCATTAACAGCTACATTGCCCATGAATTATTTGCAGCAGTCCTAGTGGTGAAATTGAGGCTGACAGCATAGCTTGAAGACTCTTGTGAACAAGGTTGCAAAGGAGGAAGGTACTTGGCATTTGGAGAATTTGTTGGTAGACGCAGCACATCAGTCAGAGCAGGTAGCCTGTGGTGCACCCAGTCATGGCAGCAGAGTGCTGAAACACAGGTTTGTAAAATGTGGTAAGTGAGGAGGCAGAACAGGAGAGGTGGAAAACCAGCAATACCACATTTGTAACTAGAAGACCTTTTAATTTCCTGACTATTTCCCTCCTTTGCTAGTTGAAGGTATTTTTAGGCAAGGAGATACTGTAGGTTTCCCAACACTTACACATTTATCCGGGCAAAATAACGCAAGTACTTAGCCAAAAGTTTTATTAGTTACCACTACATGACATTTCTGGCAGCCCTGCTAGGAGACATGGCTTAGGTAGCCCTGATTTCTGAACTGCTGCTTTGAGCTTCAATGTTAAGAGTGCTGAGAAAATTGACCTTTAAGGATCAAGGTTAAGATGTATCCAGGCTGAGTAGTGGGGGAGGCTGATTTACTATTCTCTGTGGGGTAGGGTTCAATTTATCTCTGCAGCAAGAAAACTGGACTTTATTTTAAGCTATAAAATGGAATATGTATTTAATATTGTTTAGCATACAAAATTTTATACCATTCTTTTTTCTGTAGTGCACCTCAGAACTGATGCATCATGTCTTGGTTTGTATACAGGTACATTCATTAAAACTTGCACTTGAAGGCGTGGAGAAGGAAAGGGATTTCTACTTTGGCAAATTAAGGGAGATTGAACTTCTCTGCCAAGAACATGGGGGAGAGAATAATGACCTTGTCAATCGGCTAATGGAAGTCCTTTATGCTTCAGATGAACACGTAAGTTGAAACTTAATGGATTTTATTTCAACAAAAAAAGCTTAATTGCATAAAATTTTATCTGTATAGTATTGGGTCATATCTTGTATTTAGGCCAGCAGAACTTTAGCAGCTAGGATTCCTGTGACTCCTTCCCCAAAAGGAAATTCGCAATTGCATACAACAGACTTTTTAGCTTGGGGAGAGGATTCAGGAGGTTTATTGCTTTTCACTGCTTCAGTGTAGGTTTTGTATTCTGGGTTTGCTGAGCTTTAGCTAAAAAGGGGAGGGTCTGTGTCACAGTTTTAAATTGGTTTCATATGGTTCTGAGACTTAGTTTTGTTTTTTCCATCTTCCCCCTGTGTGCATGAAGTCTTTTACTCATGTTCTTTAATGTGTTGAAAATCACAAAAATTCTGGCAGAGGTGCTCTTCGCTGTCTACAGCTGTGAACCTTCTCTGGCCCATGTGGCAGTGTTGGAATATGTATGGTGCAGGTTGCCAAATACATAATTATATCTACAAAGATAATGCTCTTTAGCATTTTTTATCCCATTGCTATAGGCAAAATTCTTCCTTGTGCAAACCAAATAATCCTGTATTAGCAAAATTTCAGAAGTGTATTGTCTGCAAGATTAAGCAAGAATCTCATTGCATCTTAGACTTAATGTTGTAGACACTGAACAAAGCAAGAAGCTGCAAAGGGTGCTGGTTAAATTCCTCAGAGACATTCAGGGATAATGATTCAGTGGAGATTTAGCTGAACTACTCCCATTCATGTTAGCTAAATCTCTGTATGGATTGTGCTGACAACTGACCCTTCAGTCTCCAGCAGAGGAAGGCTTTGGCTCCAGAGTGTACAAGCATCGACTTAATCCCTTGGCAGCACTGTGGTACTGTAGGCTGGCTTACATCTGCTCCCAGAAAGCTGTTGCAGCAGTAGCCAGCTGACTTAGTTTTATATCAAAACTAGTGCTGAAGGAACTACTAATTCCACATACTTTTTCTAAAAGAGGCAAATGTAGGACCTAAAGGTTTGAAAGTTAAGTGCAAGAGAGCCACAAGTTTGAAGCTAACAGGTGCCACTGCTCAGATGAGAAGTGACAAGGGAAAAAGGATTTGTTCAGCAGACCAGAACGAGTGCTAGAGAAGAGAAAGAAGAGGAAACCATTATTTTCACAGGAATAAACAATAAGACAAATTTGCCAGGCATGTGATAACAGGGTAAAAGTGTTACATATATCTAGTGGTCAGAGAAAATGTCTTCTGGATTCAAGAGCAGTGATTTATTTATAAAGCAAAGCCAGAAAAATCCTTCTTCTCCCCATACCCCTACCACATCTATCTGTCTGTTGGCTTAAATAGCAGAGTGGTTCCACACCAAGGAATGCATTTGTTGCTTTTCCTTCTGCAGTCTTCCTTACTGGCAGAACACATTACAAAATGTTCTACTTCAGACCATTTCCCAGTGTTTGATCTGCTTCTTCCCTCCAAGCCCTTCTCTGTTGAAATCATCATCCATCCCTGCATGTGAACTACATACAACTGTGCTTTCATCTAAAATCTGGTTGCTGTTGGAGACTGGGTGTGTCACTGCAGCAGGAGAGCAGGAGAGCTCGTCCAGAGAGGAATACAGAGGCCATTCCTCACACCATTTTTTTGTTCTTTTTGGTGGGAGACTTCATCTCAGTTTAACAGATGGACTGTGACTTGCTGAGGAATGATCCATTGCATTAGCACTAAACCAAAGTCTGATTCAGATTCTGCCTACTTTTTGGTTTTGGAATTTACTGTCTTATTGCCCTACTTTCCCCTTCAGATCTGGGTTGTTTTTTTCCTCTCTCTCTCTCTCTCTGTAACGAATTTGTCCCAAGTTAAATTCTTTGTCTCACAGTATTTTGCAGGCTAATCTCTTGGTAACAGCAGTTTGGCTTTCCTAGTCAGGCCATGAGGCTGTTAGATGAATTGTGTGTAGAATGATTAGAAATGCAAGTATAGAGTTTAGTCCTTCAAAGAATTATTATTCAGGTGTTTGATTATTGTAGTATTGCATTGAAGAGATTTTGATCAGGTTCATGTCTTGGGGTGTGGAGTGGGGTAGTTATTTTTCTCAGAATTTCAGTTTATAGTGTAGTTTCAGTCATGTCACCTTCTAAGCTTCTGCTTTGCTTAATTCAATAAGAACTAATGTTTTAAGATTGAACAAATTTTTTATTTTTTTTTTAATTATTTTTTTGTGAGTTGGAGCAGCATAAATATCAATCCAGTTGGTTCCTTCTATTTAGGGCCTTCGTTTTGTTTTCCCTGTTAAAATTCTGCTTAAACCTGATCATTATGTCTCTGCTTAAGCAAGAGGGATATAATATACTGTCATTTAACGTTTGGCTGGTCAGTCCATTGACCTTTGTAATTTTTAATTATGAATTGATCATTTATAATCCTACTTCTTCTTCAAAAACATCAAAGTTGCCAGAGAACAGTGCTCAAAAGGCTACATTTGAATGGTGGAGAAATGTGGCCCCTATTTTTCAAGCTGTCAGTGTGTAAAGCTCTTGGTCTTGTGGTACTACACTAGAAGAGCTTCAGAGTGATGGACGAGAAGAGGCTCTGTGTCTGGTTATGAAGCCCAGAGCTGCTTAGTTCTTGGCATAAAGCAGAAATGTAGGAAAGCTTTTGCTTTCCTACACAGGCTGTTGTGGTTCAGTTCATGTAGAAGTTGGGAGAATTTCTCATGTTGGACATCTCAGTTGCTCTGCTCAATTTCCCAGAGCAATTGCTCGAAATGCAGCAGGTTTGGTGACTCTGCTCTAGCAGCTTCTGTATCTGCTGCTACTTTTGGAAAAGGCCCCCACCCTCCCCAACACCAGGTTTTCATAGTCCAACTCTTCAGTCTACAGGCACACCTGAATAGTTTGAGGCAGATGGACCTAAGGGTCGAAAGAGACCATCTCTCAATATGGGAGACAGAGATGACCATGGTCATGTGGCTCAAGCCAGAAATAAGTGCTCCAAATAGATCTTCCACGACTTTCCTTATTAGGGGATGCTGTTCAATGGGATTCCACAGTCCTAAAGTAATTGGACTCTTATGGTTCCCATTTCATGTATTTATACAAGCTGTACATACTGAAAAACATGTCCCAAGTCTCAGAACAACCTCTGAGGTAGTTATAAGATTCATTATTTCCATCAAAGATAAACCTGGCAAGATAGGGACCTCCACTCCTCTTCAGAGCTGTGGAGTAGATTTCACTCCCTCTGCTTAGAGGTTTTTCCTAGTGTACGAATGACAAGAAAGCATGCACATGACCCAAAAAATCTGCACAAGTAGGCTTTCTAATAGTGTATCTCACAAAGTCATGATACACAGGGCCTGTGGAACATGTGCATTCCAGAACAGGTCACCTCAGCACAGGAGGAGGGTCAGGACAGGTGGGTTAAGGCAGCATTGCTCACCGCAGCTAAAGAAGATCCAGTTTTCTCACCCCACAGGGCAGGGTCACGTTCTCCCAGCTGTCAGCTCCTCCCTGTGAACCTCCTGTTCTCTGCACATCCTCCATCCTTGCAGCCCATCACAGGAGCTGCAGCTTTTAGGAACTGCTCACAAAGCTGTTTTGACATGATGTACCTACTGTATGTAATAAGGGCATCATTTCCCCCAAGGGGCCAAAACGTGCTTAACTTCAGCTGCCCTGACAGACATGTGACTTCCACCTGAAAATGGCACCTGAGTGATAGAAAGCTTGCTTTCAGTTCAAATTGGGCTGTTTCTATACATGGTAAATGGATGACTCTTTCCATTGTATCAACAAATGCTAGGAACCTTATTCTGCTTCTGGCCTTTAGGTAAATATTTTATTGCCAGAAGGGAATTTGCTTGTTTCATAAGCTGCCCTGGACTATTGTGGGGAAACTAAAATAATGGCCTTCCTTTTATTTTGATTTTTGCCTCAAATTAAAAAACTTAGCAGTAGCAATTTGTTAAAGTTTGTTGTTCAAGAAACTTACTTCTAACAAAAGTTAGGGGGCCAGGTGGGTTCTGTAGAGGTAGCCCACTGGGGATGCTGGAATTTGAATGGCAGCTCAGTGTCTTGGAAAAGTGTTTTCCTTTGGAGCTGCCTACGGCAGAGCAGTACTAATTCAGGGCAGAGCGTACACGAGAGGGATCTCTTCAGTGAACCGTGCTGTGGAAAGATGGAAAGCACTTGAGAGGAAAGCTGTAAATGCAGCTGTGCTTAATGGCAGTCCAGAAGGGATGCTCTAAAAGTCAGCCAGACTTTTTGAGCTCAGATAACATTGAGGTCAACTCAGGATACTAGGCCTGTTGCCTGTAATTTGAAAGTTGTTTGGAGCTGGTGTCACCTGCAGTGAGGATACAGCCTTTCCTCGTGTCAGGGATTCATCTTCCAGTGGGAATGTATATTTACAGAGACAGCTTTGGATAATACTGTGCATAAAAACAATGGGAAGTATTTACTTAGTAATTAGCGCTTTTTACAGTAGCTCTGTAAGTCAGTGATTATGGGGCTTTCCCCCCCAGCCTGCCCAAGAAAATGTGTTTGCAAGTCTGTGGGAGTTAACATGGGTATATTATTTTGGGAAAGTAATATGCTTGACCTCAAAAAGGAGGCTGTGTTGAATTTTTAAAGCAGGTGATAGTAAAAGTGTCTTGTCCATTTAGTGATCTAAACCTTGAGAGAAGAGTGTGTGAAAAGTACAGCAGACAGGTCCAGAAAACCTTGGACAAGCTGAAAATGGGAGGACATCAGGATGCTATGGTACAGCATCTATGGTTGGCATATCACTGTCTAACTATTCAAAATGTTTGCTCACCAGAACAGATAACAGATAGTAATGTTGAAAGCTGACATTTTTTTCTAGGGAAATAACAGTACTGCATATGCCTCAATTAGGAGTAAAGTAAGTACATTTTAATATAATAATACGAGATGCTGATTTCCTCAGGAAATAGCTCATTTTGTACTCCTTTGCATGAAAATCGTTAAGTTTTATTCTACAGTGAGCATCATGGGGCAAGATTACGTGAGGAATGCTTTCTGCTGAAGAGTGTTTTGGTATCTTTTTCTTCCTGCAGGAGAGCCACACAGATGAGCATGAAGGTGAAGAGCAAGTCCATGAACAGCCCCAGCAGCAGGATGAGTACTGACTCACGCAGCATCTCTGACAATTTTCGTTTTGTGTGAGAACTTTCTTCTGGAGAATGGAACATGTGCGGCCTCAAACTTGAAATCAGTTCACTCCCAGTCTGCCATTAACATTTATGTACCATAGTGAGTGCCAGCCAACCACTGCATTCTGTACCAATACTTTGCCAAGATGCATTTGCAGACGTCTTCTTTCAGTGTATCTTCCCAAGAGGTGGTAGGGCTACATCACCTACTGTACATCACTGCAACGTCACCACTTGGCTGCTTGAGATTTGTTCTGCTCTTTAAAAATATATATATTTATTTTTTTTTCTTTTTCGTCTTAAGTATGATACACTTGTAACTTGTTCTAACATATTTATATTGGCATTTTGTGTGGCAAGGAGTTCTGTACCACTAGCTGTGTCTCTCACTTTTGTGGTGCTTTTACGTTTTCTAGTACATCTGCCTTGGGGCATCAATTTGGCCAAACAGTTGAAATAAAGGGATACAGTGGATGTCATACTCAAGCCATAACGATGAGGCTGTGTTGTGGAGGAAAACGCTTGTGTTGCTCACATTTATTCCTTTCCTGTCTTCACAAATGGAAGGTGGAGCATCTGTTTCACTGGGAGATGAAATCCCTGTGTTAGGAAGCTTGTTAGAAAGCTGCATGGTATGTTTTTTGGCTGATTTCTGGAGGAACAGACATCCACTTAAGCTCTTTGAAAACCCTCCCAGTTTCCTAACTAGTCAGTAGACATTTCCCAGCTTTTCTTCTTCTCTGAGGAATCCAGTCCCAGCCTCCAGCTGCAGCTCTACCTCCGCAGAGCTCAGTGCTGAGGGAGGAGAGAAATCTCCTTGACACAAGTGTAGCTGCAGGACACAGTCTCTGCCATCATCCTTGGCTTCCCACCTCTCAGAAAGGGAGAAAGTAGGCCAGCCATTTCCTTCCACTTTCCTTCCTCCTTCCACTGCCCCAGCCATGCAAGTATAGAAGACAGAAATTTTGTCACTAGTGCAAAGTGCAGGGGAAAACAGCAACAGCATTGGCCCTGAACCACACCTCAAACTCCCCTGTAAGTGGATGGTGGACACTTCACAGGTTTAAGGCTGCTTCCAATGCATGGAGAGGCAGTGAGGAGTCCTGGAGACAAGGCACACATCAGAAGGGGAACATCTGACTGGGGGCACAGAGCTGTTTCTGTGCTTGGCTGACCTTCCTTCTTCAAGGCCAGTGTGGTGCAGAACCATATGTGCACTGGAGATGTCTGCAGCGGGAGTATTCCCTTCCAGTGTGGTCCCATGGCCCTGTTCTAAATGATGATATTTTATAAACAGAGGCATCTTGAAGTATAAAAAGCATTCCTTGTTCTTCTCCTACCATTGTGCTTTGTAGTCTCTCTGGTTATTTAATGCCTGGTATTCTTGGTCTCTCGCTTCATTTTCTGAATCCTGGTTTGTTGTGCTGATTTAGCAGGTACGTGGAAGTCCCACCCAAATGACATTCACTGAAAAACTCCACAGTCTATTGAACAGCTAAATAATTTTAGGTATTCTTAGGTTCCTAAAGCATTAGGTCCCCAGCTTATGCTTCCATAGAAAGATTTCCAGTGAATCAGCCCCCAGGCACACACACATGCACATGCAGTTTTCCATTCCTAATCAATCTTCTGCAGCTAAGTGGCTCTTAGTTAAATGTGAGAACCCTGCTGTTGTGTCGCACCACCGACAATATATAAAATGCTGTTGAGCACCAAAACAGGTATTACCAGTTTCTTGATCCTCCCCCTGCACAGCAGAAGAGTTTCTGGACCCTGCAGGCTGAAGTTTTCCCAGCCCTGCACCCAGTATTGACCTCACATCCTACCCAGTGATGAAATCAAAGTACTGCAACCTGCAGGCCAGCGCTTTCCTCTCCCGTTTCAATTGGTTACAAGTAAGGTCTGGTTTATAAAATCATGTTTTTTCCAAAATAATTATTTCCAAGAATCACCACAAATGGGGGAATTGTCATTTTTGTTGTATTTGTGTTTATTAGAACATATGTACTTATTACAATTGTCATTGTAATAAACAGTAGTTCTTCATAATACTGTTGAAGAGCAGTTACTAATTTTTTTTCCAGACTCCAGAATGTCCTTTAACCTTTATGGGATCTCTGAATGGGGCAAGGAGTTTGGGATCAGGCCATAAACTTAATTTCATCAGCACATCTCTGCCTACTGGAGTTCATCCTTCTGCCAATACTTGAGCAGGTGCATGGAGAGCGCTTCAAGGGAAAACATTTTTCTGAAGGTGCAAATGGTTGGGGTTGCTGAGCTCCCCAGACAGTTCATAGCCAGGCTGTTGTGCCTCTCTTCTTTTCTCTCTATTGAAGCACATATGAAAAAAAAATTAAAAAGCTGAACTTCGCTTCCTGAAAATTCCTTGTATCCTGTTTCTGATCTGAGGACCATAGCCCTCTCACTGCTTGCATCAAGGGGGGAGTGACTGATGTAGGGAGCCAGGGCAGTGAAATTCTTTGGGGGCACCAGAATTGTGGCTGTGCTGAGGGGAGAGCAGTGTTCTGAAAGGGGAAAGAGTTGTCCTTCCCCCCACCACCCCCTGTGAGTAACCCATTCTTCTGTTATGGTTTTAATATGCATTTGTAATTACCTTTACTAAATAGCACACCATAAAGCTTTGGTTATATATTAAATGTAAACTGAAAGGAATGTAAACATATGTATTGTTAATTATAAATAGATAAGTAATGGCATAATAGATACAAAAAAAAAAAAGTCTTATTCAGATGTATCAGTCATTTTACGTTATCCACAAACTGTCGCATGATAGAGTAGATTTTTGTCTGAATATGTGAATAACTTGACTTGCGTTTATCTTTTTACATATTTAATAAAAAAATATATGTTAAAATCTGTCTAGCTCTAGAGACTATTCGGAACATTCTAAAATAATAATTTTCTGGATTAAATACATATTTTTGATTCATCAGGGGCTGCATATGGGAGCAGGAAGAAAAAGGCAGCTGCTTTAAAAGCCCAGAAGTTCACTTATCCTGTGTGTGTGGATAGCACCTGTTTCACCAAGAGCTCAGCAACTCTATTCCCTTTTATAAATCAAAACAGAAAATACATGCATGTATGTGCATGTAAACAGCACATTTTTCTTTATAGCAAATGCTTTCAGATTTTGGAGTGCTAACTCCCTTGGGTATCAGTCTGAAGCAAAACTGGCAGCAGCCAGGAGGCAAAGAGAGCACTACAGAAAGGTGCCAAAGCTCCCAGTGGGCTTCCTCGCAGTGGCCAGGTATTCAGGGATGAATCTTCAATGCAGTACCTAAAAGCCATCTAGATTTTAGATCAAAGTATGAGGTTTTGTGGGGAGGGAAGGGCGAAAATTCATTGTAGTTCTCACAGCTCTGGTCTTTTGTAGCTGCAGTAGTTGCTGCTCAAGTGCAGGAGTTCTGAGCCTTGGGTGAGGACTCTTTTCTTCTGTGTTGAAGTGATGCTGTTGTGAGCCACCAGCCTGCACCTTGCTGCTCCAGGTATCCCTGGGCCTCTGACAGGGGAGGGAGGGGAGGATGAAGCAGGGACCAGAGGAACCCATTTCCAACCCAGGCCTTCAAAGCTGGGAGAGAAGCTCTTGTCTAGCTGCTTTTCGTAAGACCAGGAGGAAGGCATGTCCTTGGGTTAGTGCAAATGCTCTAAAGCTTAAAAAAAAGTGATAGATTTTTCCAGTTCAGATAGTTGACAACTTTCTGCCATAATGTTGTGACCAAAAAAATTTATTGTTAGGCCATCTACATACCTGACTTTGCAAAATAAATCTGTGACCATACAGCCCTATGAACAAAAGCATTTTTCTTCCTATTCATTGAACTAGTTGCCATCTGTGATGGCTAATAATTCAATATATACACTGTGCAGTACATGATCTCTTTTTATACTTGTCTTTATACAGATTGTAGTGACAAATTGATTTAAAGAGGAAAAAGAAAGTTATTTGCAACGTGTTCCTATAGAAGGTGAAAAAACTGGCCGGAGATTAATGTCCTTTAAAAGTGATACTTGCTTTCCCTTTAGAAAGGTTCAAGTGCAGGCAGGTTGTGGTAGTTCAAGTTTTAAAATTTCATTTAATGAATATTTCAACACACTCCATTCCAGTGCATCAAATTGCACTGCTTCTGTGACCCTTATTTCCAGCTGTTTCCTAAATAAGTGCAAGACAAAAAGGAAGCCTGTCTACAGAGTTTCTCCAGTATGACCACATTCAATTTGGAGTTATTTTTGTTTATTGTATCCTAATTCTTTTCTCACCAGAATTTCCTCAATACTTATGATGGAAAGGTGAAATACAAGCTACCTTTATAAAGCAGGTGAGACTTTTGTGGCAGTGTATCAGGTATTGGATGTAATATTTAACTTCATCCAACGCTGAGACTGCTGGGTGTGTGCAGCAATGTCAAACTCCTCACTCCCTTTCAAATGCAGTCAGAACTGCCTTTTTTGGCAAACCTCATGGAATAAAGAGCCTTCAGACTTACTCCAGGTGAGTTCTTGGGCAGTTAGGGAGCACTTCTGTGGAGACTCCATGCTCCCTGGGCATCACACGGGGTAAGGGCATTGCTGCCATACCATTGGGGAGAAAGGCTGGGAGATGCCTCTTGTAGCTGGGCTGCAGGGGTTCCAAAAGGCATCCTCCCTTCCCTGCCCAGCTCTTGACAAATCACACAGCATGACTTGTCCCCTCTGCCTAAATCACACCTGGAGCTGCTTGAACTGTGACTCATCTAATCATCATTTGGGGGGTGGGACCCTCAATGTGCTTGTTTGGTAGGCGGAACGTGGATTCTGTCAAACCTGAAGGAACTTCCTGGTATTTCTGCTTTGTGACAGGGGAAGCTGATGTTCTGGCTTGTCCCCTGGTGCCTGTGGCAAAGGCTGTCTGGGGAAATCAGCCCTGCTGGTGTTGTGGTAGGGCAACTGCTGTAACAGGCAGTACCACCTTAAGCTGAAGCTGCTCATGCAACTTGCCAGTGCTCAGCTGAAAATATTAATAGGAGCTACTGACGTGAGGGTAAATTAACCTGGGGGGGAAAAATGATCAGGCTAGTAATAAACCCACAGAAACAGTCTAAGCACTGGAAAAGATGAACTTCAGACTCAGCTCAGCAGCTCAAAAACTAGACTTCCACATGGCTTCTGGCAAATGAGATGGTTAAATAGTTAATAAATGTGCCAGGCTGTCAATCTCATCCCTCTGTGCTTACCTTGGGGAAGTGGACAGATTGTTTAATTAGTGCTTCAAGGCCACAAAGGCCCTCAGGCTAGGGCAACATATGAAAAGAGATGAAACTGAAATTCTTACTCCCTCCTCCAAGGCACACAGAAAACCCATGTGTATTATAGATGAAGGGAGGAGTTTGCATCTGCATGCAAACATGTAATGTTAGAAAAAAAAAATAAAATCTTGTTTCTGTTTCTAAAACCACAAGAATTTGCTCCAAGCACACAGGTAAATAATGACTTGTTTAGCATTTTGCACTGGTGGATGATGTTGGACTGAAACAAGTTTTGAAGAGAAATATGTGAGTCTTCAAAGGTCTGCTGGCCAAATTTATTTTCAGCTGTTTACCTTTGTAGGCTATATTGTTTGTTGCTACTGAAATATAAACAATGTGCTTGTTACTGGCTAGAAAATAAATAGAAGGGCCAGCTGCTGCTGTATTAAGCCTGCATTTCTGACAGGTCAGCTGAGACTCAATGCTGAGAATGGGAAAAAACCAATACATTCCAAAAACACTTTACTGTACCCATAGCTTTCTGAGCTCATTCACTTGTCTTCACACATTCATATGAGGTGAGGAAAAGACTGAATAAGCTGCACAAGCCTTTCAGGAGGTTGTGTGGAGGAAATGAGTTGTGAGAAAATAAATATGGCAAATGAAGCAGGCACAAATGTCTGGGTTGGAAGGACGTACAGGGAGGGTTTGCATTGCTGGGGTCCTACTGGTGACTAGGCTGGGCAAAACCAGTGCTGGTTATGAATCACCGAAGATCTTGTGTAACCCAGCATGGATTTATCCAGGACTTTGGACACAGTGGTAAGGAGGAGGAAGACAAAACAGAGGTGAGTAACACAGCTTGGTAAAAAGAATAAGCATCAACAGAACAGCTTGGTAAAGTTCTCTGCTGGACAGGCATCTTCCTCTGAGCTGGAGTATCTGGCTGCATAGCTCGTTTGTCGCAGTGGTTCAGATATCTGTACTATTCTATTCTTTGGTTATTTTAATCAGACTCATCCCAACTATTTATCACATCAGAAGAGCTGCAAATCTCCATGTCAAGTGTTACAGTCTGATCTCAGTGCAGGTGTTCACTCTTGGATGCGTTTCTTCAGGGAAAAGATGTAAATGTTCAAGTGCTCACTCAGCTGCCTACCCTAAAGAGAAATTGCAGAGATTAGCAACCTGCTTTGTATGCACTTCACAATTCACTGCCTCTCCTCTCCCAGTGAGAGGGGGGAGGACCCAGCCACAGTCCTCACATACTTGGGGATCTCTGAGTACACAGGGACCTGTAAGTATTCAAACAAGAGAACTGTTTTCCTTATATTCCTCTTGCAACACACTGCTGGGAAGTGAAATGGCTACAGACCAGATTCACAGGTGACAAAAGCTGTGATGGAGCTGGGCCCCTCAGTGAACTGTGAATTTTGACCAGGTATTTCCATTCTGATCTCCACCAACAGGCCCATGTTGGATGCTCAGGTAAACTCTACTATGCCACCAATGTCTGCTGACAAAAGGCTGCTTTCAAAGAAAAATCCTTACATCCCAGTGGTGTGGCTTAAATAAAAGAATGATGACAAGCTCCCTCTGAAATGAGACCTTTGTCATGCAAGGTGTTTTATCTAAAAGCTAACACCATTACAGCAGATGCTAAAGGATCGTTTGACAATTTAGAAAAGTGGACATCAACTAAGTAAAACTTAATTTAAGCAGTAGTTCAGATGACAGTGATAAGACAGATCTAGCAGACACAAAAATGTGCTGGCGAGATTGAATGAACTGGAAAACTATTCATGT